AGAAGCCCCCGAGTCAAGGGTGAAGGTGTGGGAGGCCGAAGCCGACGCAGTACCTGAGAGAGCAGACTCACCAGCACCTGAGGGAGCAGACGCACGAGCACCTAGAGCAGCAGCCTCGCTAGCACCTAGAGCAGCAGCCTCACCAGTACCTAGAGCAGCAGTCTCAATGCCCGGGTCGGGCGGAAAACACCGGTAACAGTCACCCTCATCACTAATAGTCACAGCATACATGGCAGCAAGAATAGCATCAAAGTCAAGGTCAAAGACAGCTACACCCGCCCTAGACAGCTCGCCCCAGCGGGGGATCTCAGTGGCCTCAGGGAACTGGTGACACCAAGCGTCCGTCAGGCGGCCAAAGCAGCGCTGGCTGGAGTGCGCACCCCCGCACTGCTCACCCGCGCGGTCGCCGGTGCGTAGGACGTAGGTGCACGGACCAGTACCCCCACCCCGCTGGCGTGCAGCGTACCACTCACGGAGCTGCTGAGGGGGGGGGATGTCACGAGTGCGCTGCTGCCGCTGCTGCTGCTGCTGCTGCTGGCGCTGACCACCACCGGAGCCGACCCTCTGCGCAGCGCCACCCCGACCAGCTCCACCTCCTCCGCCGCCGCCTCCTCCACCGCCGCCACCTCCGCCACCTCCGCTCCCACCGCCACCGCCGCCGCCGCCTCCGCCTCCACTGCCGCCACCGACACCTCCACCCCCGCCACCACTCCCACCACCACCCCCACCCCCTCCACTGCCGCCACTGCCACCTCCGCCACCCCCGCCAGCCCCTCCAGCACCCTTGCCCCCCTTGCCCTTGCCGGTGCGGCGTCTCCCGCTCGGGGCAGACGCAGCGCCGACCGACTCGAAACCAACGAGGTCGGCCGCAGCAGCAGAGGCAACAGAGGGCAAAAGGGGGGAGGGGGAACACCCCTCAAAGACGGGGGTGCGAGGGTCACCACGAGAGGCTCCTACAGCGACTATGCTCTTCTCTGCTGCTAGGAGGGCCTTCTCGAGGAGGTCAACGGTGAGAGTGGTGGGGCAAACTGAGAGGAAGTGGTCCCTGACTACGCGAAGGGAGTCAGGGAGCCGGGTGACTATGTAGTAGAGAGTGATGTACATGGGGGGGGGTTCTTGGCGCAGAACTCAGCAGGAAGCGCAGCGCGGTAGCGAGTGTCACTAGTGCGGAGGTGCGTAATGAGGTCAGCGACTGTGGGAAAGGCAGCAAGGTCAGGGAAGAGGTACGGTAGCATGAGGCGGCTCAGTGCAGCAGTGGCAGGGGAGGAGTAGCGCGCAACTACAGCGTCGTACAAGGTGTGAGCACTCTTGTACTGGCTAAAGTGCGCACGCTCAGAGGTAGGCAGGTGGCGACGCACAGCAAGACGTGCAGCAGCATCGCGTGTGGCCCACTGTGAGCGAACAGTGGCGTCGGCATCAGCAGCAGGGGCAAGAGATGCACCAGAGGTGAGGTCAAAGAGGGAGAGACCGTCTGCCCTATCGCACTGTAGGAAAAGCTGCAGGTCATCTACCCAGACGTCAAAGTCAATGGCCCGACCCTCAGCGTCAAAAGCGAGGACACTAGGGGTAGCCATGACAGCAGTAGACTAGCAGCGCGAACAGTAGGGTAAGGGCAGTGCAGTGACAGAGGCGCTGCTCTTACCGGATAGGGCGGCTCGAGCGGCTCGGCGGGTCGGCAACTCGGCGGCTCGGGCGGCTCGGGCGGCTCGGCGGTACGGCGGCTCGGCAGCAACTGCGACTCGGCGACTCGGCGGCTCGGGCGGCTCGGGCGGCTCGGCGGTACGGCGGCTTGGCAGCAACTGCAGCTTGGCGGCTCGGCGACCCGGCGGCTCGGGGACCCGGCGGCTCGGGCGGCTCAGGTGGCGCGGCGGCTCGGTCGGCTCTGGTGGATCGGGCGGCTCGGCAGTAGCTCGGCGGCGCCGGCGGCTCGGTGGTGACGGCGGGGCCGCGTGGGGACGGCGGCGGGGCCGGGTGGAGCGGCGGCGGGGCTGGGTGGAGCGGCGTCGGGGCCGGGTGGAGCGGCGTCGGGGCCGGGTGGAGCGGCGTCGGGGCCAGTAGAGGCGGCGCCGGGGCCGGGAAGCGCAGCTCCGGGGCCGGGAAGGGCAGCTCCGGGGCCGCAGGGGTAGGCGACGGGGCCAGCAGAGGCGGCGCCGAGGCAGGGAAGGGCGGCGCCGGGGCCGCAGGGGTAGGCGACGGGGCCGCGAGGACGGCTAGGAGGGGGGGGTCGCGAGGGCGGCTTGAAGAGGCCGCGAGGGCGGCTAGAAAGGGCCGCGAGGGCGGCGTGAAAGGGCCGCGAGGCGGCGCGACACAAAGGAGCCGCGAGGGCGGCGGATCGGGGCCGCGAGGGCGGCACGACGCGACGTGCAGGGGCCGCGAGGGCGACGCGACGGGGCCGCAGGCGCGACGCGACGGGGCCGCTAAGGCGGCGCGACAGGGTCGAGAGAGGGGAGCGCGACTCGGGCAGTGTAGAGCGCGCTCCGGGCAGGAAAAAAAAAAAAAAGGTGGTGGGCCCTAGGAACAGTTCCCACAGGGGAACCTGCTCGATACCATGAGAAACTGAACGAGAATGAATTGACTAAGGGAAAGTTGGGTACAAAAGTAAACCCTAGAAAACTGTACCCCATATGTGCTACCCCACTATAGCCTACAGTAGCTATGTCATATAAATCTGACAACTTTGGTGCCATAAAATTGTAAATCTGTATCTGTCATTATATAAGCGCATACGCTAAAACAATTGACTCAATTAGAAGCGCACCCCCTGAAAAAGTGCGCTCTTTTTATAAGCACATGTGCGTTTATATCCGGGGTCATACGGTACAAGCGGACTCTTCTGTAAATATCCACCTACCTAATCCATTCTACGACATTCTTTCTTTACCATTTGAAACTGGTGTTAATTTGCCATGGGTGGGTTGGTAGCTTGGTGTGCATTGGGAGCAAAGCGAAACAGGGCACGTAGCAAAGCAGATACCCGTTGACTGGCTCAAAAAAACATTTGCATTATCTTGACACCAGGGCCTATGATTCATTTTTCGGGCACCTTCTCCTTGCCCTTGGCCCGCTGATGATGATGATGATGATGCTGCTGCTGCTGCTGCTGCTGCTGCTGCTGCTGGAATCCTTCTTGTGAGTGTGTCGGCGCTTCTTGCCCCTGCGCCATATCTTCACCACCTCATCCCACTCCATGTCATACTGAAGCATGCTCAGGGTCATGAGGTCGCCGAGCTTTCCATTGCGGAGGCTCGTCTCTGCCAGCTTTTAATGATATTTTGCCTGCTGAATCCCCTTTCGCACTCAACTGTACTAAGGGGCAGGACCGCGACTGCTACCCACAACTTCACGAGGTTCGGGTAGCTTCTCTCCCAGTCGCCCGTCTTGAGAATTACTGCCAGGCCATCGTGGAAGCTTCGCTCTCCACGCGGAGCTCCTTGGAGCACAGGCACCAGGTGTTAGAATAGTAGATTAAGTGAACACTAGGGTTTGGGGTAGGAGGAGACTTGAGAGAGACATATGTCGAGAGAGTTTAGCCAAAGAGGAAGAATTCACTATTGAGCGAGGTACAAGTAGTAAACAAAGCATGCAAAGAAGGTGCACCACCAACAGTTTATAATAACTACACTAACTACAGCTACAGGCAGTTACAGATATATTCTAACACTCCCCCATAACTGCCTGCAGCAGGAGTTTGTGCAGCAACACATCCTGCATGGGTACACCACGAACAGAGGAAACAGCATCAGCAGGCAAGACCAGTGGCAACCGGTGCAGTGGTGGCAGATTCAGCTACACCAACCCCTCAGCCAAGGTAGAAGCAACAGACAAAGGTGCATGTGGCGGCAGGTCGCCTGGAAAGCGTGTGCGTGCGGCGGCACCGTGCGGCGGCACAGCAGGGCTCAACGGCAGCACCTGCCGCTCAACAGCAGAAGACAGCAGAAGAAACAGCAGGTGGAGGCAGGGGCGGCAGCAGAAGGTGCCACGGTAGCAGCGGGCGGCAGCTGCAGATGCCTAGCTGACTTCCGCTACCGTCTCACCCTCCCCCCCACGGCAGCACACGCGGCAGTGAGAGAGAGAGGAGGAGGGGCGGCTGCTGGCTTGGCAGAATCTCTCTCTCCACTCCCTCACAATCTCCCCCATTCCCCTCACCCTCCCCCCGCAACCTCTTCCCCCCCTCACGGCGGGCCCCGCTGAAGGGAGGGGAAGGACGGGCTGCAGGCAACTCACACCCGCCACCCCCACATCCCCCCCCCCCCCACGGCGGAAGCTGCGGAAGGGAAGAGTGGGGCGCCGTTAGCTGCTGCTGGCGCTGGCGTCGTCGCTGGCGCTCGCGCAGGTGCTGGCGACGGGCGCTGGTGCTGGCGCACACGACCGTGCGCGGGTGCACACGGTCGTACGAAGCTGCGCGCAGCAATGCGCGGCCGTACGCAGCTGCGCGCGGCTGCTGCTGTGTTCGTGACAGAACGGGGCGGGGCAGGCGATGCGCGCGACGAGCAGGGCGCAACGGGCGCGACGGGGAGACGAAACGAGACCGCATCTGACGCCGTCGCGCAGCTAGCTTTGAGACCGTTTTGATGGTCGCGACCGTTGCAACCGTCGTAACTACGGCCGCGACGGGGGGCGTGACGAGCGCCATGAGCGGGGGGATACGTGGTGGGCCCATGGGGGAAAAAAAATAGGTCTTAGGACGACCTAGCTCTTAATACCATGTTAGAATAGTAGATTAAGTGAACACTAGGGTTTGGGGTAGGAGGAGACTTGAGAGAGACATATGTCGAGAGAGTTTAGCCAAAGAGGAAGAATTCACTATTGAGCGAGGTACAAGTAGTAAACAAAGCATGCAAAGAAGGTGCACCACCAACAGTTTATAATAACTACACTAACTACAGCTACAGGCAGTTACAGATATATTCTAACACCAGGGTCCTTAGCTCCTTCTTCGCCATTGGTCGGCCAACACCTGTAACAAACCTGGTACAGACACGCGAATGTAAATACAATTGTTAGATCATGGTTATGCGCGTTGGAACTGCTTCAACTGGCATCCGCAACCCACCAGGAAGCACCTCCCGCCTCTCGCCGATGTGGAACATCTGGAATAGAGCGTCCAGGTGGGCCACACACTCGTCATTCCGTGAAGCAGTGTCCCGCGGCCAGGTGTCGGGCATGAACAGCTTAGAGCCGTTCAAGGTGTCGAGGTCCTTGAATCTCCGCTGCAGGTTGTCCACTGCCGACAGCACATAGGAACGACAGGTCTTGAAGCAAGACTCCAGGTTACGAGGCGCGTCACTGTACCCCGTCAGCTCTTCCCCGTGCAAGCGAAATGTGGCGTTGAGAGCGTCCGTCACCATCCACGCCTTCTGCCGTGACGGTGCGGCTTCACGAGTGACGCGCAAGGAAGGGCGACAGTCGCTTGCTTGAATCCGCGCCAAAATGTTCCCGCAGTCGATGTAGCGTTCACTGATGAAGATGATCATGCGGCGGACCAGGGAATGCACAACCGTGAGATCGACCTGAGTTGGGCACAGGGGAGCATGGAAAGAAAACAAGAAAACACTTGGAAGAGATATTAGCACGGTCCAGGGATCATGACTAGTACTTGGAATGATTTCTTCTCACCTCGCGTCGTTGAAACACCAGGTTCAGGTTGTTGAGCTCTTCCAGGAGGTCCGCCAGGAAACTTTAGTGACGTCACGACGTGGTAGATGGCTGCGTTGTAATCCAGGAGTAGAACAATCACTGCTGAAAGGACGTCGCAAAGTCGTTCTACAGCCTGCCCCCGACTCAACCACCAGACCTGGTGAATGCCCTGCATCTCTAGGTTCGTTTGCAAGAACGTCTCTTGGAGACGCATGAAGACATCGTGCCAGGGATGTGACTTCCCAAGGATTTCACACACTACACGAACCATGACATCAATCAACCCCAGATCTAGCTGTTAGAATCTAGAATAGAACGATAATGGATGAAACTAGGTAGGAGGGGGATACAAGTAGGAAACCCTAACAAAGCTGTACCCCCTAAGGCTAAACCAACTATAGCCTACACAATATAAACATATAATGTTTGACACACCCCCATAGGCTAAGTGGGAGACAACCAGATGGTCACAAGACCAGTCAAAGCAAAGCAAAGCAAGCTCAGGGTGGATCTCAAGGAAACCACACAAATTCTGAGCACAAGCAAGTGGTCACAAGACCAGTTCACATGCAGGTTGATAGTATAACAAGAGATACAGTGATCACAACCTAGCAAGAGTAAACAAGCAGGTATATATATAGAGATCACAGTACAAGCAGAGTCAAGAAGTAAGCAAGTGAGGCCCAGTAGGCACGAGGCCTAGAACAGTACAGAAGCGCTGATGGTCACAAGGCTGAAGCGCCTTGGTGAACACATCAGCAGTGTTGGCCCGAGTGGCCACGTAACGCAGACGAAGCTGACCGCGCTGCTGCAGCTCTCAAGCAAGGAAGTAGCGCAGAGCGATATGCTTCGTTCTGTGCTCCAGTCTGTGCTCCTCACACAAGGCAATGGCAGCCTTGTTGTCGACGTACAGCACTGGAGGAGAACGAGGCCGCTCTCCCAAGTCGGTCAGCAGGTAGGTGAGCCAGCGTAACTCCTGTGCAGCCATGGCTGTGGCGTAGATCTCAGCCTCACAACTGGAGCTGAGAACAGAAGACGAGCGTGTAGAACGCCAAGAAACTGAACCAGAGCCAAGGCTGAAGGTGTAACCCTGAGACGACCGCTGAGTAGCCTGGTCGTCAGCCCAAGACGCGTCTGAGTGCCCAGTGAGTACAACTCGGTCTCGTCCTCCAAGCACTAGCCCCATGCCCGACGTACTGCACAAGTAGCGCAACACCCTCTTAGCGGCATCCATGTGCTCCTTCCGGTGACGGCCAGGAGCGACATAGCGTGCAAGGATGCTAAGAGGGTATGCAAGGTCAGGTCAAGTGCAGGTCATCAGGTACATGAGGCAGCCCACAAGCTCTGGATACGGGCCACTCGGCTCTACGGACTCATCCGAAGGCAGAGCTGAGAGCGAGTGACCGGTAGGCAGAGGAGTGGGCTGAGGCGAGGAGTACGTGAAGCGGAAGCGCTGAAGGACCTGCTGCACCATGTGTGACTGAGTCAAGGTGATGGTGCGCCGTGCTCTGTCCCGGGTGATCCGCAAGCCAAGATAGCTTGTCAGTTCACCCAGGTCTGTGCACGTGTGTCTCTTCTGCAGCTCCGACTTCACGTGGGCGAGTGCCGCAGTGTCTGCAGTGGCAAAGACCAAGTCGTCGACGTACACGAGGATGTAGAACGGCGGCAGCGAGGTGTCGGTGCGTAGAAACAGCGACGGGTCAGCAGTAGAAGGAGCGAACCCAAGAGCCGCAAGTGTAGTCCTCAGTGTGTCGTGCCACTCACGTGGCGCCTGTCGGAGACCGTAGACTGGCCGCCGGAGGCTCCACTGGGTACCAGGAGGGAACGACCCAGTGAAGCCAGGTGGGCGGCGCAGCCAGATCTCCTCGTGCAGGCTGCCCTGTAGGAAAGCAGTGCTGAAGTCAAGAGAGTGGAGCTCGTAGTCACGCTGAGCGGCGACGTGCAGCAGAACCCGAAGAGTGGTCATCTTCGGGGTCGGGGAGAAGGTCTGGAAGAAGTCAACTCCCTCTCGCTGACTGAAGCCTCGTGCAACGTAACGCGCCTTGAAGACAGGCGGAGAACCCGGCGGCCGCTTCACCCTGAAAATCCACATGCCACTGACGATGTTCGCCCCAGGTGGGGGAACCTCGTCGACGTAGGTGCCTGTGGACTTCCAGGAAGCCATCTCTGCGTCCATGGCTGTCTGCCACTGAGAGGAGTAGGGACCCTCTATCGCCTCTGCGTAAGAGCGCGGAGTCGGGATGTCTGGTGCATCCGGGTCTCCCTCAGGGGCAACTAGCATGGACACGAGATGAGGTAAAGCAGCGGCAAAGCACTCAAACTCCTCCTGCCTGTCCTCAAGGACGTCCGTGCCAAGAGCACACTCACCCCCGACGGACGGAGGACAGACAGACTCAGACTCAGCAAATAGGCTAGCGGCGTAGTCTAGACGACAAGTGGCAGCAAAGTCGACAAGCTCGGCAACTAAGGCAGACGCAGAAGTGGACTCAAAGGAAGGGTCAGTGACAACAGTAGCCAGGAGACGCGTGACAGTAGGACTGGCAGCACGAAGGGAGTCAGACTCAGGGTCAGCAAGAGCAGGAAGAGAGGACGCAGGAGGAGACGGGAGAGGGACACGCTGGGGAGCAGTGGAAGGACGAAGCGCCATCTGGTGAGTGCCTGGGACAGCAGGAGGACGCTGACGCGGGACACGACGACCAGTGTGAGCAGCACGAACAGGCGACGCTCGACGAGACTCAGGCGACGCAGGACAAGACTCAGGCTCACGACGCTCCGTAAGACCTCCAGTCGGACCAGTGTAAGGAGAAGGACCAGGGAGAGGGGAGGCAGACGGTAACTGTGACTGCGACTGGACAGACGGAGGACACTCTAAGGAGGGAGGAGGACAAGGAGGGGGAGGTTGACCAAGAACCTGCTGAAGGAGCGGAACGAAGTACGGCCGCGGCCGCGCAGCGTCTCCAGAACCAGCAGAGACACCAGCGCCAGGGTCCTCCGCACCAGCAGCAGCTCCACCTCCAGGGTCCTCAGCACCAGCAGCAGCTCCAACTCCAGGGTCCGCAGCACCAGCAGCAACTCCAACGCCCGGGTCCGCAGCACCAGCAGCAGCTCCAACACCCGGGTCCTCAGCACCAGCAGCAGCTCCAACTCCAGGGTCCGCAGCACCAGCAGCACCTCCAGAAGAAGCAGCACCTCCAGCAGCTCCAGCAGCCCAAGCACCAGCAGCACCTCCAGCAGCTCCAGCAGCACCAGCAGTACCACCAGCACCAGCAGCACCTCCAGCAGCGTCAGCAGCACCAGCAGCTCCAGCACCAGCAGTACCTCCAGCAGCGCCAGAAGCACCGCCAGCAGCAGAACCTCCAGCAGCTGGGTCCGCGACACTAGGAGCGCCACTCCGAAGACTGCAGCGCCGTGCGTACCACTCTCGGAGCCGCTGGGGAGAGGGCAGCTCCCGCCTAGGAGGGGAAGCACTAGCACCAGCTCCAGCAGTACTCCTGGCTCCAGAAGCACCTCTCCTGAGGCTGCAGTACTGTAAGTACCACTCACGCAGCTGCTGTGAGGAGAGAGCTCCTCCAGGTGTAGCACTCCCAGGCTCAGTACCTCCAGACTCAGCACCCCCAGACTCAGCACCCGCAGGCTCCGCACCTCCAGGCTCAGCACCCCCAGGCTCAGCACCCCCAGACTCCGCAACCCCAGGCTCCGCACCCCCAGGCTTCGCACCCCCAGGCTCCGCACGCTCAGGCTCAGCACCCTCAGGCTCAGCACCCCTAGCAGGACGAGAGTCGACAGCTACCTCGACAGGCTCAACCGGATCTACCTGGGACACACCTGAGGGAGCGGCACCCTGAGGGGGGAGGGGGTCTACCACAGCAGCACCTGGCGCGAGGAAGAGAGGCGGGGGGGGAAGCGGGGCAGTGCGGTAGGGGAAGAGGCGGTAGTAGGGGACGGACTCGTCGAAAGTGACGTCCTGAGAAGGCAGGACACGGCGCGAGGTGGGGTGGTAAAACTGCCAACCAGACGCGTCCGGGACAAAGCCAAGGAAGACACAAGGAACAACGCGGGAGGAGAGCTTGTCCGCGGATGTATCGCGAACAAAGGCTCGAGATCCCCAGACCCGAAAGCATGACGCATCGCCAACCTCTCCTGTCCAACGCAGTGTCGGCGAAGTCTCCGGAACGGAGACACGGGGCCAGAGGTTGAGCTGATGCGCAGCGTATCGGACTGCAAACGGCCACAGAAAGTGGGGGGCAGCCGCATGGATCAAGGAGGTACGAGCGACCTCCATGACCAAGCCAATGCGGCGCTCAGCAACCCCATTCTGCTGTGGAGAGGCCGGAAGCGTGAACGACTGGCGGATGCCGTGCTCCGCACAGTAGGCTGCCAAGAGGTCGGAGGAGAACTCACCACCTCTGTCAGAGTGCAAGCGCAGGACAGGAAAGTCCGAGTGGAAACGCTCGCTGAGCTGGAGACGAGAAGCGCTGATCCAAGGGATCAAAACATCAGGGACCTCACCCTTGGTGCGCAAGGGGAAGACCGTGGTGTAGCGCGAGTAGTCGTCAACAACTATCAGGAAGTACCTCTCCTGACCCTGACCACGGACGCGGGCTGGGCCCCACACGTCCATGTGGAGCGTCTGCAAGGGAGCAGTCGTCGGGGGAAACGAGGAGGAGTGAGGAGCGGCGCGCTGCCGCCCCTCGACACAGGGAAGACAGGGAGGAGCAGGCGAGGGTGGGAGGGGAGGGAGAACCCTGGGAAGACCAGAGACAAGGTACCGTTTGTGCATGGCACGAAGGCGCTGCACGGACGGGTGACCAAGTCGGTGGTGCCAGAGGACGGTCTCGTGCGCCAGAGAGCGACACGAGCAGGGGGCCGACAGCTGACCTGACGCAGACGCAGACGCAGCTACCTGAGGGGACTCAGTGGTCAGTATGTACAGGTCCGACCCCGGCTGCCGAGTGAAGGTAGCCAGGTGACGGCCCGTCCGAGCACACGTGCAGTGTGTCACGCGCTCGTAGGCAGGGGTGAACTGGTGAACACCCCCGTCCTGGAGCGTACAACCCGCCACCAAGTTCGTAGAGAACGAGGGGAGGTGGAGACCTGACAGTGTGCCCGACGGAACCGCAGGACAAGGAAGGAGGTCGCAATGACCGGACCCCCAGAGGGGTCAGCGAGGGAGAC